GACAATTTTCAAGCGACAGCTGAAAACTCATCTCTTTCAACGCTATACTTGACTTCATCTTAAATAAAAAAAAAATTTTAAACTTTGCCTTTCTCTTTATTTATTCTTTCCCTTTCTAGCTTGTACTTATTTGAACAATGCCTAAAACTTGGTATTACAAGCACTTCCTGTGTCTGTTTGCCTCTTTAAGAAGAATCACTTTATGTATTCCCCAATTGTAAGTCGCTTTGGATAAAAGCGTCTGCAAAATCTCAAGAGTTATTTTTTTGTTTTTGTTTTTTCTTGTCATCACATCATGACAAAATGGCCCCTACCAAGCTATTGTGACTGTGATGTGGCAGGAAAAAGTTTTTCCAATGTTTGAAAGAAATAAAAGATTACTTCAAACTATTTATGCAAAAATACCCTTTCAAAGAATTTCAGCCTTTTAATACCACATTTTCTTTTATGCCTTGACAGTTGTTCTTTATAAAAGATATGTAAAGTATTTTTAATTTATTTATTTATTTGTATTAATTGCATTTTTAATATCTTTTTTTTTATCTTTTAAGCTAGCTGAAATATAGACTTTAATATTGGCAGGCTGTTCTTATCCGATACAACACGTGCTTACCATCAGTGAACAGCGGGGCTGCCACTTTAAAACTTGTTCATTACTCACCCTTGCATATTTAGAGGAATATGGATCTTCAAAGAGCGCCCAAACACGACGCTGCCAACGTTGCCACAACCCTGCACCTTTTGCGTCAGGTGAGTCGCCGAGGGCCAGGCGTTTAGTCATCTCAAGTTCCTCGTCTCCATCCCCTGGATCACCCAAAACTTCTGTGTCCATATCATCGTTGCCCATTTCAGCTGGCCCTCCGCCGAAACTGTCCAGTGCCTCTTCGGCCTCCCGGTGCTGCCGGTATGTCATCCAGCAGCAGGGCTCCACATCTGTCTCGTCGATGCCCCAGAAGGCCAGCTCTTCCTCATAAAGAGGGCCACAAACATCAGCGGGGCAATGCAACTTGCCAGTCCTATAATAATTGAGAATGTGTGCAAAAACTCCGGGGTGGCGATCAAAGAAAAACTCGTCGATCTGGGCGTCATAGTCAAAGTGACTGTGGGCATCGGGCTCGGCGAGCCAGGCTAAACGAGTGCCGGGGAGAGTGCGCAGCGTGCTGCGGTAGGTCTGGTGTCGAATCCCTCCCACGTTAATCACAACACGGTCTTTCTCGTCGCCCTGGCCCATCTCGTCGCTTAGGCATGTCTCGAGCCCGGGCCAGGCATTACAACGCTGAAAGACCCGGAGGATACATGTGCGCAATTGGTAGGCAACGGAAAAAAGAGAGTGAACCGAGTGAACGCAGAAAAACAGGTGCGCAAAGGCAGCTCAACTGCAGGAAACCGCTGCATGAGCGTTTGATGTTCTTGTCAGGTGAATATGGGATTTCCTCAAGATGCCAAGAGAAAATAAGAAAGTGCAGACGTTAAACGAATGCAGAGGTTGTCATGAATTTACGCTCCGCACCATGAGGTCCAGAGAGGGTGCGAGGCTGATGGCTTGTGGTGCACCGCTGGTGGCAGATGTGTGTGTGGTACTGAACGGACAGCTCCCTCCTCTCTCCAAAACGAGACACATGCACTCCCCTTATTCCCAGTAGACGCCTCCTCAAATCCGAAAAAGTGGAGGGATCGAGGTTCACTGGAACGGTCACATTTTACGCGTTTTTTTCGATGTAGCATCAGTCGTTTTCTTCAAAGCATGTCCAGATGCCCATTATCGCACGCAGTTTGTTGACAAACACGACAGACATCACATCTAGAAAATGCTTTGCCACTGGATATACAGCTATACTCATACAGGAGACGTCAGCTTTGAAGTGGGAGAGGACCGGTCCTTTTAAAAAATCTTCTTTTGTCTCCACAATGTCCAGTTTGGCGACGTCCCCCGGTGTTTGTTCGGAAGTGATTGATCGTATCCTCTTTATTTCCACCAAATGAATAGTTTCAGTTTCGCTGTCTCTGTCGACCAGTGTGGAGCGAGGTTCGTCATTCCTGCGGAGAGACAACATGAGCCTCCTCTAGAGCCAACCGACGCGCATGCGCAATTGCTGAGTGGATGAGTCGATGCGTGCAGATCAGATATTGGGATGGTTTCAGACAGCGAAAAGCTCTATTCAGAAATACGTGCAGTATTACTGGTAAGACAAAGGCTGAAAAAGCGCTGCGCCATGTATGCTTTCCCTCAATATGCAGTTTCTGCAGGACTGCATGAGCGCATATGCACTCAATAGCCTATATAAAAGAATGCCTATTTGCTTTAATGAAAGGCCAGTGAATAAATAATAATATTAGGTGTAAGACACGGTCAGAAATCAGGGTTTGTGGTGGGGAAAAACGAACATACCAGATATATTTAAATTTTGGGACAAATAAAGCAATATATATATATATATATATATATATATATATATATATATATATATATATATATATATATATATGCCACTCCTGTATGAGCTACACTCATACAGGAGACGTCAGCTTTGAAGTGGAAGAGGACAGGTCCCTCAGAAATCTTTTGTCTCCACAGTGTCCAGTTTGGCGACGTTCTCCGGCGTTTGTTCAGAAGTGATCGATCGTATTCTCTTTATTTCCACCAAATGAATATTTTCAGTCTGCCTTTCCGCGCGTGCCTGTCGACGAGAGTGGAGCGAGGCTCGTCATTCCTGCGGAGAGACAACATGAGCCTCCTCTAGAGCCCACCGACGCGCATGCGCAATTGCTGAGTGGATGAGTCGACGCGTGCACTAGATCAGATATTGGGATGGTTTCAGACGGTGGAAAGCTCTATTCAAAACGACATGCAATATTATTCAGAGAAGACAAAGCCTGAAAAGCGCTGCGCCATGCAATTCTTTCCCTCATTATGCAGTTTCTGCAGGTCTGCATGAGCCTATACGCACTGCTCAGTAACCTATATAAAACACATCTGCTAAAATGAAAGTCCAGAGAATAAATAATACTATTAAGTGTGAGTCAGGGTCAGAAATCATATAGGCCTAAGTTTGAAAAATAAAAAAAATTTAACAGACCCTTTATATTTAATCTGGGGACAAATTAAGCAGGGTTTTTTTTTTATAATAAAATATAAAATCACCTCTGAAAACAGGCAAACACTTGAAATACTAAACCATAAACAGCAGTTATATAAAAACGTAGTCTACTGTGATCTACTGTGTGAGTCTAGCAAATTATTAAAATTTTTATCCAGCAGTGCTTTTTTATTATTATCATTTATTTGCAGATAGACTGTACTTGGAAATCATTTGGTAACAACTGTAATTGTTGCAGATTGAAAATGTGTTTAATTAAAGTATTTGGCATACATTTTATGAAAATGCCCTTGTGCAAGTAAAAAGACCCTAAAAATAAATATCAATGTGAATCTATATATTTACTAATATGTATATGCAGAATATCAGTCTATTAGTTGTCAGATAACCATTAATTATCAGGCCTTGTAATCTTTGGAAAGCATCAAAATAACTTGAAATTGTGAAACATTTTTAAAGTGCATATGTCACTATAATAATTATGTAATCAATAATTTGAAGAAATCACATTATTGGTAACTAGGTCTGTTTTCATTTAACGTTTTGCTGTTTCTTTTTCTAATCATCATTCCTGACAACTTAAAGGCAGATTACAGTATGTGCTTCTTCTCAAAAAACACATAATAGGATTTATCCCAAATTATCCTGCTCTGCTGAGGAGGAAAAGCAATTAGGCTTCAAAGGAAAGATAATGTCCACTCACACTGGAGGGTTGTTGGTGCATGGTCCCATGGGCAACACCTCCACTGTCAGAAACCCATTAACTCTTCCAGGGTAGGAATTATCATTGGCAGCCAAAACCTTCAATAGCCTCAGCATGTATCTACTGCTTGTAATTGAAGTGATTCATATATCACAAACCTTTCTTATCATATCATAACTTTATTGTGATATATAATAGTAAAAATGGAATGAAGTAAGATTTATGTGTGGATCAAGTAAGACGTCATAATTAAAAGAGCTCTGACTTTATCTTTTTATTATATAAAATATGATATAAATGCTATTCATAAACGTAAGACAGGCTGTAGCCTATACTATACTAACCTTTCTACTGGTCACTATGTTAATTAATGCTATAGCGAGAATATTAGTGACATCTAGCGACAGAAAGTGATTTGACAGCGCAGGATTTAACTCGCACCTTTGCTGAATTTCATGATGAGACTAAAAAGATTTATTCATTTATTTATTAGTATTTTAAAAAATCTCCACAAAATTTTCCTTTAGGTTAACCATTGTGCGTCTTACTGAAAATGTTTGCAACTATCTGTAGCAATTTGTACTTTCACTAATAAGTTTATAATATTATATTTAATTTAAAACATGGTATTTAATGGACAATCAAAAATGAAGTACATTAAATTTATGGATGATTAAAAAAAAGATGTATTCTTTTTTTTATCATGATATTCAATTTCCAATATTTTGAGAAAATAAAACAGTTTTGTTTATTTTGCACCTTACAAAAATGGTTATCATACATCTATGTATATCATACATATATTTGCACCCAGCTGTACTTTCTCTGTTTAAAATCTCTGAAGCTCTGTTTCCTTCTCAGCCACAAGGTGGAGACATACACTAATTTTTCATGAATAAAAGGCATGTATCTTGTAAACATGGCTATTATGCTTTCTGTTGTTTATATTTCAATCCCACCTGCAACAAAAGATATCTATATAGTAGTTTTCAACGATTTTAAAGGCAGTGTCAAAGGATAAGAGAGCACTTCTTTTGAACTGGATTGTAAATAATGAGACAGATCAAAAAGTTCATAATGTTTGGGATGAAACTTGAATTCTGAGGATGTTGTGTGAACTAGGCAGCTAATCTATTTTTGAACGAGTATGTAGTCTTCTTAAGGATTATTTTGTACGGTCTCTATGCTGTTATGCGGCCGTCGTTAGGGGGACCCTCTAAGGGGGAGGAAAACTGGGTGTTGCCGTTTTTTTACGTCGACTGAATCCAAGAAGCAACTCACACGGGGATTGAGTTCAGTCAGCGCGAGCACTGCATAACGGCTGCTTCATCGAGACACCTCTTCGTTAACCGGCTTTAAAAACATCCTCCAGAAACCGACACCATGGGCGTGGAAGGCTGCACGAAATGCATCAAATACCTGCTCTTCTTCTTCAATTTCATCTTCTGGGTGAGTGGCCATTCATTTTGTGCAGCGGTCCTGTGTCTGGCCTGAGAAACCGCCATTGGTTTTCTGTATTAAGAGGATTATTTATCCTTCATGCTATGAACCGGAATTTAAATTGCGCCGCTCATTTTGATTACGGAAAACGCATGACCCTGTAACGTTAACTTCTGCTATGACTAATTAAATTGTTTTAAATAATGTTACATATGTTTTATGTAGAATGTACATATCTATTATAGAATCGCTAAGACAAAAAAATATCAAATAAATGTAAACCTGCCCACAGTAAACCGACCTCGCCGCGAAAATAACGGACAAGGGGCGAGGAGTCCAGCAACAAGATTTCATCACAGCTCCCGTCTGTTTAAAGACTAGTCTCGTGTTTATTACACCCGTCTTATTTTACTTACTATGTTTTTAATATCACAAAACTACGCTTTTAACTAATACTTTAGCATTTCACACTCGGCGACACAATGAAGTAATAAAATAGCGCAGTAATAAAATTGGCGTAGTCTCTGGTCCCTCCCACTCGAGGTAGTTTGGAAAAGAACCTGGAAAAGTGAATGGCAATCAAATATTCCCCCCCTGCCAGACCCTGTTGAGAGTCTTAGTTCATCGTGCCATAGTCACAACTAGTCATGTTGACCGTTCCTTCACCTCAAAGTGGGTATTGTGACTCATTTCCTTTTAGGAACTTACACTTACTAAACAGTCTAGATAGAAATCAATCGTGGTGGATTTCTTTAGAAGTGTTACAGCGTTTCAGTGTATGTCTTATCTACAGCACTTTCTAAATTGTTGGTAAAGCATTTAGTGTCATCTTAAAATCTGGTTGATTAATCGGGTCTCAATTTTCAGTTGACAAATTAGTCTCTTGGTAGGTGATTTCTAAATCAAAGAAACCATTGTGTTACTACATTGATACGTAAGAAGGTATTAAAGAATGATATGTTCTAAAACTAAACTTTTTTTCTTCATTTTCTTCCCAGAAAGTGCCTTCGTGAAAAATATAGTTGCAGCGTTTAGGCCCATTACCACCCAGAAAAGAGCCTGGAAAAGTGAATGGCAATCAAATATTCCCCCCCGCCAGACCCTGTTGAGAGTCTTAGTTCATCGTGCCATAGTCACAACTAGTCATGTTGACCGTTCCTTCACCTCAAAGTGGGTATTGTGACTCATTTCCTTTTAGGAACTTACACTTACTAAACAGTCTAGATAGAAATCAATCGTGGTGGATTTCTTTAGAAGTGTTACAGCGTTTCAGTGTATGTCTTATCTACAGCACTTTCTAAATTGTTGGTAAAGCATTTAGTGTCATCTTAAAATCTGGTTGATTAATCGGGTCTCAATTTTCAGTTGACAAATTAGTCTCTTGGTAGGTGATTTCTAAATCAAAGAAACCATTGTGTTACTACATTGATACGTAAGAAGGTATTAAAGAATGATATGTTCTAAAACTAAAATTTTTTTCTTCATTTTCTTCCCAGAAAGTGCCTTCGTGAAAAATATAGTTGCAGCGTTTAGGCCCATTACCACCCAGCACAATAGCTATTTCTGTAAAGTTTTAATAATCATTCTAATTTTATGAGAATAGCAAAGCACAGTCGAACGATATCACTGGAATCACTTTAATAATGTTTTTTTCCCCCAGCTGATGAATGATAAAAACATTGGCGGCCAATTAGTATCCACTCAATATTAAAGAGCTAGCATTTGAAGCAGCAGACAACATAACTGCAGCTCACGCTCATAATAATCAAAACCACAGCTATAACAGTAACGACACAGAGGATCAATATTGTTTGAATCACTCTTCAAACTACTTCTTCCAGCTGATGAATGATAAAAGCATTGACAGTCAGAGTCCATCCGACTTTAAAGAGCTTGAGCATTTAAAGCTGTGGGCAACGTATCAACAGTATGTATTCGAATATACAATGTTTGGTGTGTATCATCATTGTTATATTATCGTCATACTTATCGTTCTTGATGTGAATGAGCCTTTAGACACATTGAGAAACTAAATCTTAAAGCCAATAAGTACCTTGTGGCAAAACAAGAATCCAACTTCACCAGAAAGCATAGGAATATTTTCCCGCTGGCTAATTTCTTCATGCTTTTCGGCAGGAATATAGCCATTTCCCCGGTAACCGCAGTAAACAAAGCAGCGCAGCACCTGATTTTGCAACTTGTAGTTCTCAAATTTCATCAATTAAACCATAGCCTTTTGAAGTGTATACTATATCTCAATTGGCATGTATATTTGTTTTTTTCACCGGAGCACTACCTGAGTCTTCTCCTCCCGTTCCATTTCTACCAGTGATCCTTTCCTTCCCGCGGTACTCATCACTGTTGTAGGTTGCCAAAGTTGAGGGGACAAATGGGTTGAAATTTGTATGTGTCGATTGTGTGAGAAGGATGCGTTTCATACAAGATCTGGCAACTGGGCAACCTTGGAATTTGTTGACGTGATTATTCATATAATGAGGTTTGGGCCATACAAATTACGGGGGTTTTACCGGAGGCAAATGTAGCAAACATATCAAATATGCCCAGTGGGATTTTTTTATTGAATGATTAAAATACAGGAGAAATACAGTGAAAATATTTAAACGGGATGGTAGCGGAATAGAATGGTAAAATACGTGAGAATCCCAGAAAAAAACAGGAGGGTTGACAGGTATGCTAGTAGGTCACTAGTAGGTTTTTGTGGTGATGAGGATCATGTCAGTATGTAGTTCAAACACTAGAGCCACACCAAAGACCTTGGTTTGATTCTCAGCGAGTTAAAATCTTAAATTGAACATTTTGATTTAGTTTTAGCCATATTTTAGTCATCTGAATTGTTTTGAGTTTTAGTCTAGTTTCTAGTAAATCTACAGTAAATTTAGTCAGCTAAAATCAAATGGGTTTAGTTACAGTGGATTTATTAAGCATTTCTCTAAAATTTCCAAATTCATATAGGTTTGATATTAATGTTTTATCATGATTTAACTGTGGTGACACACACCATTCCTTTATATTAAAATGTAATAAAACCACTTCTCATAAAGAACAAGAACATGGTCTTCTTTTCAATGAAATACCAATGGTTATATAGGCTAATTATGCATTCTTTATAAAAACTTGTTTACTATGTTCTTCATTCTTTCAAGCAAACATTTATTTCTATAAATACATTTAGAATAAAGGGTTAGTTCACCCAAAAATTAAAATTAGCCTGTGTTTTACTCACCCTCGAAGCATCCTAGGTAGGGCTGTCAAAATAACTGAAAAACTAAATTCGAATTTTGTACTTAAATATTATCAATATTCAAATTATATTCACATTTAAAAGGCATAATTTCAGTTAGGGGGGGAAAGTTTTTGTCTTCTCTCCTGAGGCCACAACAGGGTGCATCGAACAAAATATAATGTACGTTTCTTAAAAGCATAATAAAATAACACGACTATCTTTGAAAAAAGTGCATAATGTTTAAAATAATGTTTATAACCCTTATATAATTAAAGTTGCTTAAACAATTAGAAACAAAACAGAATCATGCGTGTATGTATAGTTTAATACAAAGGACCGAAAACCAATCACAAAGAGTACTTTCTTAATTTAAAAACTTGAGATGCAGTAGGATGGGGAAAACCACGCTAAAGTCTTGAGACATGTTTTTTAAAAGTTGAACTTAGATTAATTTTACATAGCTTTCTAAACATGTGCAACGGTGATAGATGTCCCTCTAGAAAAATTCGAATTTTGTACTTAAATATTATCAATATTCAAATTATATTCACATTTAAAAGGCATAATTTCAGTTAGGGGGGGAAAGTTTTTGTCTTCTCTCCTGAGGCCACAACAGGGTGCATCGAACAAAATATAATGTACGTTTCTTAAAAGCATAATAAAATAACACGACTATCTTTGAAAAAAGTGCATAATGTTTAAAATAATGTTTATAACCCTTATATAATTAAAGTTGCTTAAACAATTAGAAACAAAACAGAATCATGCGTGTATGTATAGTTTAATACAAAGGACCGAAAACCAATCACAAAGAGTACTTTCTTAATTTAAAAACTTGAGATGCAGTAGGATGGGGAAACCCGCCATAAAGTCTTGAGACATGTTTTTAAAAAGTTGAACTTACATGAAAATGTGATAAACATGCGTTCTGTGTGAACGGTTTGGTTTTGGTTTTGACGTAAACAACATCATCTCCGCATTGATGTTCTTTTTTCCCCACAATATTTTGAATGAACAACGTAACAGCTCCGCATCTAGTGTGTTCAACTGGATAGACTAACAAAAACATTAAAATGCAATGACCCTTACATAGTCGTCGCATTTCGTGCGCCACTGATAAGGCTGTCTGATGCACACCTAAAATTCAAATGCAATGTTTTTGCATTCGAATGTGGATTTTTATTTTAAATTCGACGAATATTCGAAATTCAAAAAAAAATTTGACAGCCCTATTCCTAGGTGTATGTGACTTTCTTCTTTCAGACGAATCCAATCGGAGTTATATTAAAAATAGTCCTGGCCCCTCCAAGCCTTACAATGGGGGTAAGCGGATGTTGGTTGTCAACAGTTCCGAAGACGTGAAATAAAGTGCGCGTATCATTAATAAAACGTCCCTCACACAGCTCCGGGGGGGTGAATAAAGGTCTCCTGTAGCGAATCCATGCATTTTTGTAAGATAAATATCCATATTTAAAATGTAATAAACACTTTTTTCTCACTTCCGCTGATTGTCGTACGCTGAAGCCGTTCCAGCAGATGTCGTAAAATGATTTCGATATAAGCCAAGAGGAGCCTGGGTTTCCTTTGCTAAAGTAAGGAAACTTTGTTTCCTTTGCTCCTGCATTTCTCAGAGGCGCGCGCACGACGCCCACATCCTGTGTCATCTGTCTGCATGTCTTCCGCGAACCACAGTCAGCAGAAGTGAGAAAAAAGTGTGTATTACGTTTGAAATATGGATGTTTATCTTACAAAAATGCATGGATTC